GCTTCTTCCAGCTCGCGGTATTCGTACGTCGCAAGTGGGTGGACGGGTGTTCCTTGCGCGTCTGGAACTTCAACTCCGTCTGAGGGAAATGCCGTGTCCTCATTGACCGTGGCCATCCCCTCGGCATAGCTAGCCTTGATCTGTCGTGTTGGTACCGGTGTAAATGCCTTCTTTGGCTCTGGGCACTTGGGTGCGAAGTGTCCTTCTTTTCCACAGTTGTAGCAAGCCTTGCTGCGCATGTCTTTCTTGGCCTTGCTAAGATCCATAGGTCCCGAATGGTGACCTGTGGCTGTTGTCGTCGTCGTAGTTCTTTTGAACTGTGGACGCACGGGTTGCCTTGGGTGCGACTGGAAACGGGTGGTATTGGCGCTTCTCGCCGGCCTTCGTTCCGTTTCTCGCTCGTGGAGTCTGCTGTCGATCCTGATCGCCATTTCGCAATATTGTCCAAAGTCTCGGGGTACGTGTTCTCTGGCGGCGATGACGTCCTTGACGCCGCTCTTGAGTCCGTCGTAGTATTTTTCGATCTTGGATTCCTCGGTGAGGCTAAGCTTGGTGATGATGCTTTTGAAATCGGCAGTGTAGGCGGACGCTGAGTGAGTTTGTCTCAGCTCCCTTAGACTCTTCTGTGCCTTCCGTTTCTCATCGGGGTCTTGGAACAGGGTTTCGAGTGCGTTGACATATCCGTCGAAACTGTCGAATATCTCCTGTGTCTCTATGTCGTGTTCTTCCAGATTGGGATTGTTCATGATGCGGGCCATGAAGGGTTCGAACCAGGCTAAGGCTCTGCCGTCAAGGTATGCTGCCGCGTGTAGAATCCTGGATATCTCGTCTGGGAACTCGTTGATGTACTGTCGTTGGTAGGCCTTGACTTGGGTGATGTGTCCTTTGAGTCTTCCGGGGGTGCCATCGAATTTTCCTGGCGCCGGGTACCTGATGCGTCCGCCTATTGGTGCTTGGATGATGTTGGCTGCGGTCTGCATCGTGTGGAGTTGTTCCCGTAGTGTTTGGTTCTCGGCCTGCTCTCTGGCAAGGATGGCTGCGTTGCCATTCACGGTGCCTTGGAGTGATAGTATCATCTGTCTGAGTTCCTCGATTTGATTCTGGTTTTGTCCGACAGTGTCTCGAAGTCTTTGAACTTCCTCATCGTCGTCGTCGCTGTCCGGGGTCTCCATGGCAGTTCCGAGCTCCTGCGCTAGGTTCGGCGCTGGGGCGTAGGGTGGTGCTGGTGATCCGGGGTTCCGTTGCGACGCCATTACTGCGGTGGTTCGGTTTTCGGGTTCTGTTGGCTAACTCGTAGCTCCTTGAGTTCCCGAACAAGTCCTTCGAGGGTGGTTTTGGTGAAGTCTCGTCCTAGGCAGTTGGAGTTGTGCCCGGTGTAAGCAGGTTGGAGGCACGTGGTGCAGATGCTTCGGTTGTAGATTTGGTGGTCTTCGCAGCGTCCCAGGTGTACCACGTTCTTCTGACACTGGTAGGCGATACACGTGATCCGCCGAGGTGTGTTGGTGGTGACTGGTGCTGGTGTTCCTCGTACCGAGGTCTCTGGAGTATCCGAAGGTTGATCGAGGTGTTCTGCGAGTGCGTGTACCTGCTTCGCGAGGTCTTCAAGGGTGTTTCCGATTGCTGTGAGAAGGTGTGGTGGCAAGTTGTTCATTTTTGTGCAACTGTGGTACCTGTTGTTAGTTGTTATTGCTCAGGGTGTACGTACCTGAACAAGAGCGATCAAAATGTCACGATCCTGCCTCCGGGGTCAACCGTCTGGCAGGGCGCTGGGGTTGCTGTTCTGCAAGATAGGTAAAGCCTGTACAATAACAACTAACACTCTGCTGTCGTTCTCTCTCTGGGTTGTCGTTCGTGTCTCTTGGAAGAGATACCAGTCTCGGCAATTGAGTGACTAGTTCAAGTGTGGGTGAAACTGATACTTAGATGTCACGATCCGATCTCCGGGGTCAACCGTCTGATCGGCGCTGTGGGGTTTATGTCCTGAATAAGGTAGGTAGCGACCTTATGCAATACTGACTCCGTGCTTGTCGTGTTCTCGAGGGGTTGTCGTTCGTGTCTCTTGCGAGATATCACACTCGGGTCAATTGAGTGACTAGGTCAAGTGAAGGGTGAGAATGATACTTAGATTGATCGCTGAAGTACAAAGGTAATGACTGTCCACAAGGAGATCCTCCGTACTCTATATATCCTTTGTCCTTCATCGTGGTCATGACTCTGAGCCCGATGGTCGCGGCCAGGTCATGAATCTGGTCCTGACGGTCATGCAGATATTGGTGACCATCCTTCTTGGCACAGCGTCGGTCATGCAGATATGCATGACCGGTACGTACCTTCCTTATCGTCCCTTATCGTGCTTACATAAGAAACCTGTGACGGTGCTGCCACATGATCCGCCCTTGTCCTTGGCCTGATCCTGTGGCCTAGTTGTTTGGGCTCTTTTGCGTCCGTAACAAGCATCCCCTGTTGGTTGGCCGTCACACCAAAGCAGATTTTCGACGGGGGAGCCAGCCACATCAACAACGCCCTGTTGATGCGACACTTGTGAGGGAATCTCTGATCATGGCATTGTCAGTCAATTGCGTACAAGAACGGGTGCAGAAGCGTAGGAATTCAATGGGGTGGAAAAATCAAGTCGGATTGGTGAAGCTGAGTGATTGATGTGAGGCTCCATGCTATGAAAAACGTCACGATAGCTTCAAGCCTTAAGTAGTACTGTACAAATATGCCCCTGATCAGTCTATCCCGCACTGCCCTGACACAATATGTCCAAGCTACTAGCTATCTTCGAGGTCCGTACTCGTCGGGCCCATAATATCTTTAAGGTTACAGTAAGTCGTTCCCCACCCTATAAAGCCGGCCCCACTACTTCCGACCCTATAAACCTCCGAGTTCCACCTCCTTGTTACGATCCTACCTCCGGGGTCAACCGTCTAGCAGGGCGCTAGGGTTACTGTTCTATAAGCTAGGTAAAGCCTGTATAATAATAACTAATACGCTACTGTCGTTCTCTCTCTAGGGTTATCGTTCGTGTCTCTTGGAAGGCATACTAGTCTCGGTAATTAAGTAACTAGTTTAAGTATATAGTGAAACTAATACTTAGATTAATCGCTAAGGATAAAAGACTAGGCTAACCCTACCCTAGGGAATCCCGTCCCTTATATGTTCTTTCCTCTTATCGCTCTTATTATATTTGTGGTAATAAATACGAATAAATACTAATAAACCGTTAGTGGATTACCAGTACTGGTTTATGGATTACCGTGATCCGGTTAGTAGATCGCCGTAATCCTGGTGCGAGGCTTACTAGATTACTGGCTGAGCAGGTGATCCTTCCTACTAATAAGTCCTACTAAGATAAGGAGATTTCTTACGTAACCTTAGGGTGTGTTCGCCCCGCGTGTATGACCTGCCCTTGTCCCTGGCCCGATCCTGCGACCTGTTGGTCGGGTCGTTACACTAGACTATCTAACGGGAGTTGCCCTCCCGTCTACGTGAGTGTCACGATCCGATCTCCGGGGTCAACCGTCTGATCGGCGCGGTGGGGTTTATGTTCTGAATAAGGCAGGTAGCGACCTCATGCAATACTGACTCCGTGCTTCTCGTGTTCTCGAGGGGGTTGTCGTTCGTGTCTCTTGCGAGATATCACACTCGGATCAATTGAGTGACTAGGTCAAGTGAAGGGTGAGGGTGATACTTAGATTGATCGCTGAAGTACAAAGGTAATGACTGTCTACAAAGGAGATCCTCCTGGTGCTATATATCCTTTGTCCTTCATCGTGGTTCCCTGGATCACTTGGTTTCCTCGTGATCCTGGATCGTCTTGGATCCTTGGTGATCCTCGGTGATCCTGGATCGTCTTGGATCTGTGGTGATCCCAGCGATCCACTTCCGTCTGGCTGACATAATGGGATGCTTATGTAACCAGGGGTGTGCTGCCCCGCGTGCATGACCTGCCCTTGTCCCTGGCCCGATCTTGCGACCTGTTGGTCGGGTCGTCACAGTGAGAAGTATTATCTCAAACGGTATAAGCCACGCGATAAATACTACAAATAGCTTACCGACCCGCTCGAGAAGAAAACGGGCAAATTTGCGCCCGTAGCCGTGGATCGCCTTAGCCTTGTCCCGGTCGGTGATAAGTATGACCTACCGGTTATATACGTACACGCTCCGCGGTAGCTGCTTTGTATCGCAATACCGGACGCTTGTGATCTCGGGTTCTCTCCCGGGCTGTATACCCTATATATGAGGCCATCCGGCTGGTGTCGGTTTTGTGGATTTGTCGGTGGATTATATTTAGTGGAAAATATAGGGGTAGAAAGGGAATCTGGGGTAATAAGGTTGAGTAAATCCGCGGGAAAAGGGGCTGGAATGAGACAGACCTACTACGTGCATAGACCTTTCGTAGGATATGACATATCCAGGAAGGCAATAAGCGAGACTTCACGGCATGTAGGGATTCTGTTGGAGATCTAGGGCGCGTGGATCCCTTGGATTTCACCTAACACCGCCCTGGAATAAGATAGTAGGTCTTTTGCTTCCCAAACCTGTCCGATGATGCCAAGCATACGTATAGTACAGCCTGCCACAATGCAGTAAAAAAGGGTGCGTGCACCATTGTTATCCCAGGACCGTTGCCAGAAATATATACGAGAAGCAGGTCCCCCCTGCTACTCTCATGAGACAAAATATACTTTACAGAACGTCATTCTGACACAATGAGCCTGCCATCGGCTGCCGAGTCGCACGCGCATTGTTGCATCATCGCCACATAAGATACTGTATGACCGAGTAAACGAGTGTAGAGTTTCTCAAGCTAGAGCAACATACCCATCCCTCTTCCCCATCCCACTTCCTCAATAACCTTTTTACACGGGTGCGATTCCTCCTGCCACACTTTTCCCAGCACAAAAGTCCTCAATCTGTCCCTAAAGGTCCACCCCCACGACCCCCGACCCATGCAAAACTCCCAGCACAGTCCGTTCAGGAGACCAATGTCTCGCTCAGAGCTTAGTCTTGACCCACGCAGCAGCTTCCTGGGTGAACACGTTGAAGTAGCTGGTATGCGCGGTCGGGTCGCGGCCGCCCTGGGAGCAGACGCTGTCGCCCGACAGGCACCAGGAGCGCAGGACCGACGCGTACGAGTTGAGCGCGGCGAGCTGCGCGCCGGAGCGGGGCCACATCTGTTTTTATTCCCACCTCAGCCTGTCAGTGATTGCGTTCTTGATGTTGCCAGTGGAGGAAAATGACCTCTTGGTCACGGAGTCAGGAGGAAATGGACCGCGGGTGGGGGTGAGAAGAAGGATTCGACTTACACCGGAGCCACCAGCGCCAGTACCAGTGTTAAACGACTGGTTCGGAGTGTGGCGGACGTCGCCGAAGAGAAGGGCGGCAGCGACTATTGTGTTGAGCATTCTGTGTTAGCATTCTCTGCATCTTCTTGAAGGGGCAGATTTCGTTGGGTTGGGTCTGTTAAAAAGGCCATTGCAGATGAAGGGAGCTCACTCTTGTTGCCAGGGGAGCTGAAGCGGCTCAACCCGGTGGAAGACGGCTGGGTGCAGTCGCTCAGAAAGCCACCGCCTCCGCCGAGGATGTCGCCGATGGCTTGGGCGCCCTGAGCAGCGTTGGAAATTCCAAAGTCAGCATGTTATTACTCCAAAACATGCGGCTGGTGTTCACGGCCGAGACTAGCCTGTCTATGCTGGGTCAGTGAAAACTAACCTGCGAGTACCCCGTCAAGATCAGTTTGGCATTAGGACATCTGCTGGCATATGCAGTGATGGCCGCTTTGCCATTGACAACGCCAGCCTGCACCGAGTTGCAGTACGGGCTGTACGCGGCAGGGTAGGTAATGTCCTCGTAGCCGCAGCTCGGGAGGCCGCTGCAGATGGCGTTGGCCAGGGCGCCCTGACGGCCCGGGTAGGGCTCCGTCGAGCCGCGCGCGATGAAGATGTGCACGGCCTGGCAGGCGGTGGTCTGGCGCGAGGTCAAGTCAAGAGGGGAGGCCTGGGCTGAGCCGAGAAGCAGCAGGGCGGTGGCGGCGATGGAGGCGAGCATTTTGGGCGATGTTGGGCTGGTGAAGTGCAAGATTTGGATCGGAGACTAGACGATGATCAGATGCCTGGTGTCTTGAGCCAGATATACTCTCGAAAATCTGGAGGACACGCGGTGACCTTTTATATCAGTCAATCGACCTTCATCATGGCCAGCATAATCTGCCTATAACGGCGGCACTATCCCTTCGACATATCGTCTATAATGCGATCAACGACACCGAGAACCGTTTATTGTGCTCCATTGTTTCCTGCTCGGATCCCGATGTCCACCTGTCAACCTTCTCTCACATGGCAGACCCGCGCCTTGCCAGGGGTCCTGATATGCAGCGGCGTAGCACTTCGTGCACCCCGCATTCAGCAGGTGCTCAACTATCTCTGTGGGGTCAAGGCTGGGTAGATGAATCTCCGGTAGAAGCTGGCCGGCAAAGCGCCCACGGCAAGAGATGGCGCAGACTGGGTGGAATGGGTGGTTGGCTACCAGTCAACCGCGCCGTTTCTTCCTCGGGCCGCCTCGGCTATTTCAGAGCCCATACACACTGACGCCACAAATGCTACACCCCAATCTGCAACATCCGAGATGTCGCCGTTTGATGCATCGGTGGGGATGGAAAAGAATTCCCGGACTTCTGCCGCCATAGCGATTGGGTGGGAATTGACTGCGGGGCTTGGGCATGGTATCTGAGGTCGCATTGCGGCAGAATTACCTCTTGAGGCTTGTGGTATTGGGACTTCGAGTGGCCAAGCCGCCAAGACTATGCCCTCGAGGTAGAGCGGTGGTGTCGCCATTCCCGGTTGCTTGGGTGTCTTCACCGTCTATCACCATCCGTTACTAGCCTTCATCTGTGGGGGAACAGGGATGCTGACAGACCCAACCCGTTTTAGATCGTTCAGACGCTGGTTTTCTATACCTCCTTTCGAGATTGCCTGGTCAGCTCTCGAGAGGTCACCGCCCCGGACGTATAATTACCCGCTGCAGAGTCAATCACCGTCGACATCTGCCGACATGGTCTTACACGCTGACTCGTGTGCAGTTACGAAAGTGATGCCAGCTTCCTGATTATTACGTACCTTTCCGGCCAAATCTCGGCGGGAGATCGCGATGATTATGCCACGACAGTGACTGAGCACGCCTCACAACATGCGGGGTGTCTTTGAGCGGCGATGCGCAAAAGGGGAAGTAGAACTTGCGAACTTGCCTTCTGACAAGATACAAGTCCCGTTTCTATACTGAAGGGCCACGATGTGAAGCGACGGCGCTCTTGCGTCGCTGCCTTGCTCACGACCCGAGTCCGGCTATTATCCGCGGCACGACGGCGAAGGTCATGCGAGAAGCGAACTGCAGCCACGCTGCAGTCATTATCTCATGCATGCTGAAGTACAGTTGGCAACGTTACAAGACTGCTTCATCCGCCCATGTAGCGACGGTCGGATGATTGCATGCACCGATTCTCCTATAAATACATATCACTGTTTTTCACGACAATATCAAGTAGCGCCGTGGCCGACATTGACCCGGTCAGTGCCACCGGCGAGACTGGCTTGGGCTCGTGACTTAATGAATCATAGAATCGTGAGTCAGGACTCCGATCAAGAGGGACATTTTGCATAGCCGAGGCCTCCTAGGTTTGCGTAGCACGCTCTGTTTCGATGCAGATCCGCAACTTTGCTAGTAAGTTCACCCTCCGCCTCGCGACCAGACCCCCTCGCGACTACCCCGCACCTGCGTATCCGGCTAACCCTCCGCGATTCTACGGCAGAGAGACTCCGGCGCTGCAGCCGAACCCTGTCATGATGGGTGGGCAGTTCATGCCGCAACAGTTCCAGGGAGGGGCGTACTACCGGCGCCGATGAACTGGGGACAGTTCAACCCCCAAAGACAGCAGTCTGGAGTGTATGGGTAACTTATCGGATGTACTGATGGGGGTTAGAAGCGGATTGGCCCATCCGCGTTTCATATGCCAACTGTCTAAGGCGGATTGCGTAGGACGTGGCCTGTTAGCCTAGGCAGGGGTTCAGCACATCTGTGAACGAGTTAATCACAACTTTTTGGGTCAGGTCCCATTAGAGGAACCTCAATTCAAGCTGAAAGTCTCCAGTTCTAGTTGTCTGATATTTCAAGAAAGTCAAATGTTCCCACCTGAATGCTGAATGCCTCCTCCATCAGCAACTTCCAAACTCTCTCCAACAGGCGATGACATATCTAAGAGATATCCCGTCCCAAGAGCACGAGGTTTCCTACTAGAGAGGACAATCATTTACCATCGGCAGTTCTTAGCCCGCACACCAGCGCACCACTGAAGAGGGAGACAATACCAAGGCAGGATTCCCTGCCTAGCACAGTCTCCGACCTATCCCGAGTGAATTAGTATCGACATTAAAGCATCGCATTTGGGCAGAAGCGAGAAAGTATTGCGTGAAAACTTACGTGCTCGGCGCACTCAATCATGGTTCTGTATCCCACACACTTGCCATATTTCAGGAACTTAGAGCCATACTTCCTGATGGGTCCAGCCAAGGCGCGAAGGAACTTGAAGAGATTACGCTTCACAACAGTGCCATCCTCCGAAATGGTCTCATCGACTTCATCGAGGTCATCGGCGTCAATCTCGTTTCCGTCGACATCAAATATCTGAACTGTTCAGGCCGTCAGTAACACGGCAGAGCCAAGAAAAAGCCATGCCGAAGAGCAAGCGCACCTGTGCCGTTCTGGGATTCAATCACAGAGCCCTCATAGACGCCATCAATAGTAATATCGAACTTCTTGCTGCCATCAGGAAGCGCGTGGTCGGCGATATCGACGTCGGCATCGACAGTGGCGGCGGCGTCCTCAAGCTCACGCCTCAAGAGCGAGATCTCCGGGTCGATAACAGAAGCTGAGGCGAAGGCTACTACTGAGACGAGGAACGCGATAAGGAATTTCATCTTGGGCGGTGAAGTACGCTGAGAGAAGCAAGAACTGCTCTGATAATTGTGGTCCGGTGCGGAAGAGAAGATGTTGTAGGCTGTGATTGCTGTTCAATTTGCGAAAAGCCAGTGGATAGAGCCGGTCATTTATAGCTTTGAGGACGACATACGAGTCGACGAGGCCTTGGTCTACACGAGGACCAAGTTGCTCAAAGAATAAGACCGCACCCATCTTACAGTAAGTTTGTGGAACGAGCTGGAGGAGAAAGGAATCCAAAACAGGGCCTCAACCGTATTCCTGCTGCCTACACTGGTGCGTTCCCCTCGAGACCACCAGGTTGAACCCGATCCAGATGCCATAAAAGGGTTAGAAAGACTGACCTTGACAAGGTTCACCGGCCATAAGCAAAGGAAGGTTCGGCCGTGTAAGTTGTCCCGTCGGATGCAAAATAGCTTCAAATGCGTTCAAACCCCACTGAATATCGAGGCTGATAATCTTTGTCCCTTGCTCCGGCCCCAGATCTAGGCATATTGCTGAACGACATTGCAACCATCTGCCATTTCTGTTGCCAAATCAGCCTGGGTCGGCATACAGACCCACAATTCGCACACGAGGGCGGCTATGCCCCTGCAGTTGGTCTCAGCCTCTTTCACCCACGCAGGAAAAGACCTTCGTCGGTTAGCCTAATTGGAACATCTTGAAAACCCCAACAGCAGGGGTACAACTTACTGGGAGGAAGCAGATACAAGTTACTCTGATCAGGACCGATCCAAGAGACATGGCACTTGGTCAGCGGTGACCGAAGGCTAACGGTGTATTACATGTAAGGGACAGGGAAGCTTGGAGCTTCCGTATTGGGAGCTAGGCTCGCCTCCTATTTTAAAGGTCGTTTCACTACTGTACAAATTATTTGCCTGGCTCTTGTCATCATGTCGGGAATGTGGGTGTCTATTGTCCCGTCTGACAACCAGATCGCCTAAGGGTAAATGAACCTGGGAGTGAGGTTGAATAGTACCCCGGCCGGGCCCACAAGTTTTGGGGCTTAGACTCTCTATCCACGTCTGGGGACATTTGCTTTGTGGCTCTCCTGATTTGGATAGGCACATGGGAAATTGAAAGGGGCCTAAGGCGACCCACTATGTGGCAGGGTTCTCATGGCCGTGGCGGAGGTTTTGATGACTTCTTGTCCCCAAAACAAGTTCTTCTCTCTATGAATATTCCCAATTACCAGTCGTCCACCACTATGAGGAAGAAGCGTGACTAAAGTCTTGAATCACTCTTGACAGAGGCGTGGGGAGGCTGCCGATGCGCTCCCACAGCCAAGGGTGCGCGTGGGGCTGAAAAGAGCTATAAGTTGCGCTTATGCTATGGTCCTGGCGACCAATTCAGTGCTCCTGGCGGTACCGTGAACATCAGCAAGGGCAGTGGTAACCAATTCACTGAGGGCACTTTCTCTGGAGCACATAGTCTTGTCCCGATCCCTTGCCGGGAGACGCGCCGATGCCTCATAAAGCTCGACTCGTCCGCCTCCCGAGCCCAGAGCCGGATGGGGTTGGAGGGTGTCCTGTCTCTTCATCGACGTTAGCCGATGTCAAATCAAATGGTTTTCTTACGCCAGTATCCCTCGCGCAGCTTGTTGGCTTCGGGAACAACGTGGTCGTTGAGTTGGTTCGAGTGTGCCAGTGGAAAAAAACCTTCACGGCGCTACAGGGCTGTGTGAGGATTGACTGCGCGCGACGCGCTGCACCACCTCGCCGTCCCTACTGACACCGGACGCCACGATAAGGGCTGCTGCTTCGTCCTACTACTCTTTCAAGCTGGATCCAGTGTTCTCACTAGAGGCCTGCTGCGAGTCCACGGTGCATAATTTCATGCTGATCAGAGGCACTCAGATGACTAAGAAGGAGCGCCCCTAAACCCAAAACGATACCGACCGGGGTTCCCTATCATAGGTCCTCGAAAAGAGTGAGGGGTAGGTCTCGTAAGACCATGCTGGCCACGGCAAAGTCCCGAACCTTCGTACGCTTTGCTTCTGGTATTGAACTAGGACCGAGACGTCTTATTTTGGCGCGGGCGTTCGTTCTCCATGTCAGAACTCGAACTAAGGTAGCGAAGGGTATCGGTAGGTATCGGCGTCTGCTTTTCGACCCTATGTTGCCTAATGTGGTTAATTAGCTATTCGACAGATCCGGAGAATACCACTCACTTTCACAGGTGGTCTGCTGCAGAGCTTGTTGCGTTGGGCGCCAAATGTATTGATTTCGCCTAGTCTAATGCAGTGGAGTCGATAAGAACTAAGGATTTACTAATGGAATGAAGGCATAGTACGACGTTGCGTTGGTATGAGTCTGTAGGGTCTGCGGCGATCTCGTCCCTTAAACGGCACGAATATCGATGGAATAAAGGGTACGGGCTTTAATGAACCCCAGAGCTTGAAGACCGAAACCCGTATAGACTCTACTCGAACGTACAGACCCTCAATAACCTGGATCTCGAGCCATCCCGGAAAACCCGCTAGACGATGGATGTCGAGTAAGTTATGCACCTTCATCAATGTAGACAGTCCCTGGAGAGCCAGTAAGAACTCTTATTGGGCTCAAGGCGCTCTTTAAGAGCTGTAGCCCGTCTGAGGAAGCACATCGCCACCCGCTCTGACGCTGTTCTGCCCCATTTTCATCCAACTCTGATCCTTCCAACCGCCTCTCCACCCTTGGCATATGATAGGATCCTGCCCTGCATTGATCGAGAATCAACGGATTCAGATGGCCGACCGCGACGCTATGGAACATGCATCGATCCTCGGCAACCCAGCTGGTCTATTGTACATGAAGGCATCTGCCCAACTGCCATGACTTGCCCCAGATCATTTGTGCGCGTTGGGAAACGTGACGGCCCCGGCACGGGCGATCCTAGAGGTATTCTTCCCCGTGACGTTAGGATCATCCCCGAGGAAGTTGGTTGGGAATCCCAGATCAAATGGCTGGACACTCTCGAGGAAGGAAATCTGCTCGTCGGTGAGCCGAATGCTCAGTGCCTTGATGTTCTCGTGCAAATGCTCCACCTTCCGGCCACCGACAATGGGGAGAACGTTGGAGGCCTTGCTCATGATGTAGGCCAACGCGATGACGGTCGGTGACTCGACGCCGTGCTCAGCAGCCACTTTGCAGAGCGCCTCGCTGATCTTCTCCTCGGCGGGCGTCTGCGTCGGCGCCGCCAACAGAGTGCGAATGCCTTCGCCCCTGGCCTTCCGCTCCTCGATGGCCTTCTTGGACTGAAATCGGCCTCCACCGAGAACGTCCCACGGAGCGAGGGCCATGCCAAACAGGCGAGCCATGGGGACGATCTCGCGCTCCATGTTCCGAATCATCAGGCTCCAGCGGCCTTGGTAGATGCAGAAGGGGGTCTTGCCGTGGTCGACGGCGTACTGGTTGGCCGCACTGACGACCCAGGCCGGGCAGTCGGAGACGCCAAGATAGAGAACTTTACCCTGCTCGACGAGCATGTGCAGAGTGTCCATGATCTCCTTGATGGATGTGGTGTAGTCCCACCAATGGAGGTAGAGAATGTCGATGTATTCGGTCTGCAGTTTTCTCAGTGAGTCACGCACGCTCATGTGAATGCTCCGGCGGTGGTTGCCCGAGTGGTTTGGCGTCTTGCCCTTGCCGTCTGCGTGGCCACGGTACTCGGACGTGAACTTTGTCGCCAACACCAGCCGGTCCCGGTTCTGGCGCGCCGCCATCCACTCGCCGATCCAGATCTCGGACTCCTCGTCCTGGTAATTGTTGGCCGTGTCGATGAAGTTGCCGCCGGCCTCCACAAAGGCGTCGAGAAGCTCGAAGGACGCATCCTTGTCCATGGAGCCCATAGCCGAGGCCCACGCCTGCCCGATGGACATGGCGCCGAGGGCCAGAGGCGAGACACGGATACCAGCCGTCCGGGAGAGGATGCGGTGGACGCCTAGCTTGGTAGGGGGTGGGCCCGGCAGTGCGAAAGTGCTAGTCGACATTGTGGAGATGCTGCTCTCCTGGCTTGTCTTTGTCGTCGTGTGCGCCGGCGACGTTGCGGCGACAATATCAGAGAAAAGAAGCGACGACATGTCATGACCACCCTTCTTATATTCAAGCAAATTGCCAGGCTTGTCCGCAAGCGGCATCGACGGATTTAACGCTGGGAGGTAAAGTCGGACTTTGGCCGATAACCCCGTATTGCCGGTTGCTTGGGCATCGGCGATGGAGATAACGCCGAACAACTCTGGAAATGACGTCAATTCGTGATCAATCGAGTTACCGAGTTACTGTGTCAGGGCAGTGCGGGATAGACTGATCAGGGGCATATTTGTACAGTACTACTTAAGGCTTGAAGCTATCGTGACGTTTTTCATAGCATGGAGCCTCACATCCATCACTCAGCTTCACCAATCCGACTTGATTTTTCCACCCCATTGAATTCCTACGCTTCTGCACCCGTTCTTGTACGCAATTGACTGACAATGCCATGATCAGAGATTCCCTCACAAGTGTCGCATCAACAGGGCGTTGTTGATGTGGCTGGCTCCCCCGTCGAAAATCTGCTTTGGCCCCTTATCTGGGAATGCCCTCACTCTGGCCCAGGGCCAGAGTGAACCTCGCCGGAAACACCGCCGAAACTGGCAAGCGGTGAACTCCCTTCGGTCGTGGTGGTTGTTTTGTCCCCGATCAGGAGAACCCTCATCCGCCCCAGGACATTACTCGAAGCCAGAAGCCGATAAGCTTAAATGTTATGGATATACTAAAAAAGAAACCCGCTTGTAATAATCCCCTCAGTAAAGCGACCTCCTCAGCCATTAGCAGCGTTCTGAGCTGTATTGTCCAAACCCGGGAACTAGAGTCTGTATTAATCCTTCTTAACTAGTTGGCACGCGTAGTTATATATCGGAGATAGTATTAAGAACCTGGTGGAAAAGATTATAGCGGACTGGACTACTTAGGGTAGCGATTAACGTAATCCACTTAACCTTAGCCTTTAATTGAGTGAGTTAACTACTTAATACGCTTTTCCTTAGTTGAGTTAATTAACCCAGGTTCTATATTGAGTTAATTAGCGTTACGTTAATGGTTAACCCGCGCCCTATACCGCGTAGTCTTACTTTTACCGCTAGCTTAATGTCACGATCCGATCTCCGGGGTCAACCGTCTGATCGGCGCGGTGGGGTTTATGTTCTGGATAAGGTAGGTAGCGACCTCATGCAATACTGACTCCGTGCTTCTCGTGTTCTCGAGGGGGTTGTCGTTCGTGTCTCTTGCGAGATATCACACTCGGATCAATTGAGTGACTAGGTCAAGTGAAGGGTGAGGGTGATACTTAGATTGATCGCTGAAGTACAAAGGTAATGACTGTCTACAAGGAAATCCTTCTGGCTCTATATATCCTTTGTCCTTCATTGTGAACTGTGTTGCCGTGCCTTGGAACTGTCAGTTCTACCGGCGCACTGCGCAGTTCCTACTGGGACTGCGCAGTCCCACAGTTCTTGGCACAGTTCCATGGTCTTGGCGTGGTCCTGTCCTGGATGACTCATCATGGTGGCTTAGGTAATGTTTCTTGGACCCGCGTGCATGACCTGCCCTTGTCCCTGGCCCGATCTTGCGACCTGTTGGTCGGGTCGTCACATCATTCCCCTCCTCCCTAGTCGCTGTCCTCAGCGCCACATATAGGTGAGACCATCCCCGCTGGTCGTGCGTCTCCCTTTTCTTCCTCATGGCTAACCATGTCTCCCGGTCGCGTCAACAAGCGTCAATCGCGACAAGTCGTCCAAGAACGCTCCTCCCTCGCCCTGGCTTCTGAGAAGTTTGGCATCGACATCATGCCGTGTTCCCGTTGTCACCGTCTCCGTCAGACATGCCGTGCTGCGTCCGCGAAAAGCTCGCGATGCGTGGGCTGTCTGCGCGCCAACGTGCCGTGCGACGGAATTTGGGTAGCGCCGACCCTGAATCGTGTGATCGCCGAGGACGATCGTCTGAAAGCTCGGGAAAAGGAGGCCGAGGCGGACCTGTCTGCGGCTCATCAAGCGCTGAACGAAGCGATGGCTCGTCTGACGCGACTGCGCAAGCAGCGGTCCGTCCTGAAATCGAAAGGCCTTGACTTGGTTTCCCGCGGTTTGTCCTCACTGGACGAGTTGGAGGAGGTCGAGCGTGAGGAGGGCCAGGCGGTGGGCGATCTTCTGGCCCTAGGGGTCCCTGACGTGATCGACTGGAGTTCGGTGTTCCCGACTTCTCCCGATGTTGTTCCGTCGGATACGCTGCCCGTTCCTGGTCCAGGGGATCAGGCTCTCCCTGGGGAAACCAGTAGGGGCTAGTTTGGTGGGTGTCTCCCTCGTTCTTTATCTTGATGTAGCGATATGCCTTGGGAAGATCGAGTGGGGTGAACTCCCTTTGGATGGTGGCGGTCTTGATCGCCATTTGTCCTTGGTACTCCCGTCGCGTCCAGTTCCACGGCTGTTCTTGGAAGCTCTGTGGTCGGTTTTCCCATTCGCGAAGGAGTTCCTTGCAGTTCGTGAGGTTCTCCCTGGGTTCCCAAGTGTTTTCCGAGTCGTCGTAGTCTTTCCATTTGATGAGGTACTCCCTGGTGTCTTCGCTGACGCGGTCGTCTAGGATCTTCTCGACTTCGTATTCTTGGTCAGGTTCGACCTCGAGTTGTGTTTCGAGCTCAGCGTCGGCTGGTGCTGGCTCGAGGAGGGAGGTGTGGAAGACCGGGTGTATCCGCATGGTCTTTGGTAGTGAGAGCTCACAATTAAGTGGTCCCAGTACCTTTTTGACGGCGAATGGTCCGATCTTTTTGAAGTCCAGTTTGTTGCTCGGGCGTTTGGTTTTGATGTTTTTGCGGAGCAAATAGACTTTATCCCCCTCCTTATAGGCTGGTCCCTTCAGCCTGTGCTTGTCGTATTGTGCCTTCTGCTTGTCTTTGGGGTTCCTGAGTATGGCCCGAAGCTTTTCTTGGAGTTTCGTGAGGTTCTGTGCTTCGACGAATGCTTCCGGCACTTGTGAGTCTGCGAGAGCTGAAGGTTCTGTGGGTTCGTACCCTTTGTTGGCGAAGAATGGGCTCATTCCCATATCTTGGTTCGCCGAGGTGTTATATGCGATCTGGGCTGTGGGTAGATGCTCGACCCAGTCGTTTTGTTTCTGGTTGATGAAGATGCGTAGGTATGTCTCGATGTTTTGGTTCATGCGTTCTGTTTGTCCGTCCGTCTGAGGGTGGAACGCTGTGGACATGTTATGCTTGATCCCTAGCTGCTTCATCAAATCCTTCCAGAAGTGTGACGTGAAGAGCTTGTCTCTGTCTGTCACGAGGCTTTCTGGAAGTCCGTGGTGTGCGATGACTTCTTTCTTGACTATCCAAGCGAGCTGCTTGGTTGTCATTGCTTCTTTGCATGGCACGAACAGTGCGTATTTTGTGAGTCTGTCGGTAACTACCAGGATGCTGTCGTAGGCGGTTTGGTAGGCGGGATCCTTGGACTTAGGTAGCTTGACGATGAAGTCCATGGAGATTGCCTTCCACGCTCTATCGGGTGGTGCGATAGTCATGAGTTCTCCGTACGGTTTGTGTCGTGATGCCTTGGCTTTTGCGCACATGACGCAGTTGTTGACGACCTTCTGGACGGCTTCTTTGAGTCCCTGGAAGTCGAACTGCTTGCGCATCCGCTGGATGGTCTTGTAGACCCCCTGGTGTCCACTGAGCGGGTGTTCGTGAACGGCTCGGATAAGTTCGTTCCGAACGGTGGGTGGTATCCACCTTTTTCCTCTGTACTTGAGTACTCCCTTGTCGATTCTCGAGGTGTCGTATCGCGGGTCTTCCGCGTGGGTTTTCTTGATATCGTTTTTATCGTGGAGGGTTGCGTATACCACAAGTTGTTGGAGGTCCTTGTTCCAGTTGTCGACGCTGAGTGCCGCGGCGATTCGCAGCGTGCCGTCCTCGTGCTGTCTTAGGATTGGGTGGCTGTTGTTTGTCGTTCCTTCGTGTTTGGGGTATCTGCTAAGGGCGTCCGCCCTAGCGTTGTTGGAACCTTTGCGGTAGTGGATGACAAAGTCGTACTGCGCTAGTTTTTCGTACCATCGTGAGAGTCTCTCGCTCATGGTGAGGTCCTTCGTGGTGGTGAAGTCCTTCA